AGTCCGAGCAACGGAATTAGCTCCGACTTTTTCCTTGCCAATTCAAGCGCCTCGTTTATAATCCTAAAGAACATTTTTTTTTAAAATTTAGTCTTATTATTTTTAGTAATTAATTGCAAATTGGTTACTGTTCGGGATTCGCCTCGAACGACCGGAAGCCTTCGAAGCAGCAGAAGCAATAGTTCTTCTCGCGGTACATGAAGACGCCCATGGTCGGGTTACCGGGAATCAGACCTCCTTGAGTCTCGATCAGCTTCCACGGACAGAATCCCAAGAACTTTTGTCGCAACAGCAACAAGATTAATTAATTACATTCAGTTTATGAACTTTTTGATATTTGATTAGAGTACCTCCAGCTTCGCATCTTTGCCGTCCTCCGAGGTGAGCAGAGTGATTTCGGTGTTGGTCAGAGAGGGCGGATCTCCGACCCAACGCAATCGCTCCAGATCGGTGAGGACCGGACTGTCTTCTAGCATCAGACGGACGATATCTACGTTAATTTCAAAGTCCTTCGTATACAGCTCCAGATTGAAGAGGATCTGATTTAGTTTCGTCATGTAAATGATCAACGATTGATATTGATTCCATATCGCATCCAATTCGATGAATATCGGCTGCAACAAACCAAATTGATGATGTGCGTGCACAGTTTAGTATACCGAGATCACTCACGAAAACGATTTCGGTTGGAACACCGATTTTGAGGAAGGCCTGCTCGTTGAATTTGTCAAGTGCCTCGGTCAAAGTGTCGTCCAGTTCGTTGGCGCTGGCTGCAACTTCCTCGACGGCATCGAGAACTTTTCTGCAAATCACAGTGTTAATGCGTTTCTGCAAATCTAAATAATTATTATGCGAACCTGTAGAGGACTTCCAACTGTCGAAAAACGATAATCAAATCTTTGTTATATTCGATTTCTGCGTAGTCGACGCCGAATGGCACGTACAAGATGTCGAGTAACGTATCGGTTCATCATCGGATTTCGCCTCGAGTTCGTGAATGCGAAAGATGCTGTCGATGGCCGTCGTTAAAAAGTTGATTTTATCCATCGTCCCGGCCAACGCCGCTTGAATGGCTCTGATGGCTGAACGCACCGATTGGTTGACGAGATGTGGAAGATTCTCCAAGCCTTCGCCCCCTTTGTCCGTCGACCAATTGAAGATGCGGATGCCGGTGCAGATGCGGCACAGCATCTCGAGCTCCTCCTCTTTCGTCTCCTTGCTCTCCTTGTCCATGAATCGGGTCAGATCGTTGTTATCGTACACGCTGTACAACGCCTGCTTCGCCTCACGGTACACCTACCAAAATAAATTAATATTTGATTAATTATCATTTGATAAATATATTTACATTCAATTTTGTCGGATTCCCGGTGCCCCTCCACAGCGTGACATAGTAGATGATTTTCTTCCTCAGATCGTCCACGTCCTCCGCCACTTTCAGCTCGAGTATCTCCTCCTTGAGGGCTTCAATCGCGTCTCGAAGTTTTTCTTCTCGTTGCCGACGATCACCATCTTCTCCTCGAAATTACACTCGAAGTACATCTGTATTTTTAACGTGATGATGCAAGGACAATACTGATGTTTCATTTTAGCTACGACAAAGTCGATGAGCCGAAGCGCGTCCAGACGATTGATTTCCTTCATCGTCGGATACAGATTCCATATCGGATCCAGAGCTAACAGCTTCAGCTGGAAAAACACGCGCACACATTTTAAATTTATATAAAAAAAAACTAAAATTTGTTAAAATTTACGTAATACAAGATGAAGTTGTTGTTGCATTCCACGTCTTCGGTTTTGCATTCGGTGAGGATCTCTTTGCAGAGGTTGTGTATGAAAAATTCCATGTCGTACGGTGAAGTTTCTGTTAAATCGATTCCGACGACGTGTACGTCGCGCTCTGACGCGAATCGACTAGTTTTGTTTTTATTGATAATACAATATGAATACAATAAATAATAAAAACTAACAACATATTAACAAATCAAATTATTTTAATTTAAAGATAAATGATCAATTTTACTATGAGCAAATCTCGGTGCATGAATCTGCGCATTTTATCGCTGGATATGCGATAGAAATTCGCATTGAGATCGCCCAACATCTGCGAGCTGATGTCCAATTTAGAATCCAATTGGTTGACGATGACGAAACGGTGAGGTCTCCTCGCCTCTCCTCGCAATTCCAATCCGCAGTACCTCGGCCCCAAATGGTGCGCCATCAGTTTTATCGAGAACAAATTACCTACAAAACAGTTAAATCATTCCACTAAATAAAACTAATCATCAATGAAACTAACCGGAAACTTGAAAGTTGTTGCTGAGCAGAGTTTCACCATTTTCAAGCACTTTCTCCGCATTATCAATCTTCCAGAGATAGGTAAACTCTTTGTGATTGCTGTAATCCAGTTGCCGTTTCGAAGGTTTACTAGGTGTCATCACATGGTGGTTATCTTCGTCTATTCGCAAAAAGTTCTTAATTAACTGCAAATCGCGTCCCAATCTATCCAATTTCTTGCTCAACTCCTCTATAAAAAGATATTAATTAACCCAAATTTATTGTTTTTTTTTAACACTTACTGGACGTGCAGATTCCCTTCAATTGTCTCGTGATTGTCGCGTTCGCGGTGGCCTGCACCTCCTCCGTGGCTATCCTGCAAACGGCATGCTGGATCTCTTCGATTTTATCCTCGTAGTCCGCAAACGAAGACGCGTCTGCAGCGCAAATCAAAAACAGCAGTATTAAAATCGGCATCTCTTCTCACAACCGTTGCCTTCTTGGGACTATCGGATTGCCTCCTTTTTATACGAGAGTCGTCATCCCATTTTGGGACGTCATCTGCTTTCTGAAGAGGATAATTTTTGTTAAATCTGGGCCAATTGATTTTTTTTTAAAGGCCACTTAATTATGCTTTATAGTTTTTAAGGCGCGCACCAATTCCATTGTTGCGTTATTAATTGAACTAAGCCCAATCCAATTCAGATCGTGACATCGGAATTGTTTGCATTCTTTTCAAATAGTTTTGCAAAGTGTGACTTGAATGTTTCATAACAACGCTGAAAATCTATAATGAGAATTCAAAATTTCTCGCAGTAGGTTTTGAACACGTGGCTTGGGATTGTTGAGTAAGTACGGATTTCTTAATTCTTCTATTGGTTTTATTGTTAATAATAATGATAATAACGTTCAGATTTGAAAATTATTGTTGTTTTAAATGTGGTTTGGGTGAAGGGAAAAAAAGGAGGAAATGTTTGGATAGTTGCAGATGTCCTCTCTTTGTTCATACAAAATGGCCGGTGCGTCTTCTCTTGTTCATCATCTGTCAAGAGGCTAAAAGTTTGATTGAATTTGCGTTATTTTCGGGGTTGAGCTCTTCGTGGAGAAAAAATGTGAATGCCTGAGATGGAAGAGAGATGCTCGATGAGCGGATGCGGAAACTCTAGACCCGAACTGCCGCTACATCCGTTTCCCGCGGACTTTAAGCAGTGAGTATAAATCACAACATCATCAAGTGTGCTTGTGTAATATCGGTGGCCCAATTTGCAGATGCCTACTGTGGGTGCAAATCTGCGGCAGACTGGAGCACCTGGAGGATTTCTCCTACCTGGGCAGCAGTCCATTTGCCAGGAGGATGATCTGCTCAAGGCATTTCACAGATGCAGATTATCTAGATCCGCACAACAAATCTATGGGGTAGAGATTTCAGCTGAGGAAATGTTAAATACGCACTCATTAAATGTAATCCTACTGTCTGTTGTAGACTGAAAGACAAAACTGTTCCGTTTGTGAATGGGGAAACTGTTGGAAAAGGTTTGGTTGTTCATTGAGAGATTTTTTTTTTTATTATTATTTTTTAGTTAAGAGAGAAACATTCATGGAGGATGGTTCCAATATTTCTGTGGAACTGCTTAAAGCTGTAGACGATCAGCTGATCGCTCTGAAGCGCAAGAATTTGAGCGAGACCGAGTTCGTGGAGGAGCAGGCCAAGATTCGACGGCAGAAGAACGCTCTCAGGGCGGCGCTTAAGCGAAAGGCGGAAACGAGCGAGCAAAGAGACGGAGCGTAAGCTGAAGGATATCATAAGGTCGGCGAAGAGACGGCAATCTGAGACGGAGCTGCAGAGGCAGATCAGACGGTACAACGACGCTGTGAGGGCGGCATATAGGAGGAGCAATGAAACGGAAGACCAGCGTCGCAGGAGACGTATGGTGGATATAATAAGGGCGGCGAGGAGGCGGCAATCCGAGACACCCGAGCAGAGGGCGTCCCGTTTGAAGGCTGACAGGGAAAGGGCGGCGCGTCGCAGGCTGCTCAAGAAGATCACCGAGAGCGGTTCCGAGCTATCATCGGACAGTTTCGGCCCCAATCTCATCGAGCCCCACATCAGTCTCAACGAAAACGTCGTCCACCATTTCGCGAGTATCGGAGACCAACCGTGATTGGAGGACTTGCACAAGCAATTCATACACATGTGATAGACATTTTTTCCTTTGTGTTCATAACAATACAATATTTGTATTTTCTCTTTTTTTTTATATTATATTAATATTACAAAAGACTCGCTTAATTACTATACTAAATAACAATCAGTCTCACGTTTCTTTAACAATATTCACACTTATTTTCTATCAAGTATCACATGATCTAAAATGATTACCTTAGAATTACCATTTGGTTGTGGTAGTGGTTCAACATTTGTTGCTGGGAAATCCTGCATGAACTCATTGAAATCAAACTCTATCCCATTGGTGTCAACTTGATCTGAAGAAGTGGGTTTGGATGCCCACTCATCCATCATATCATCAAAGTTGAATTCGTTGCACAGTTCAGTTTGATTCATTATGTCGCAATCCATTAGGCTCGCATCTCCCACTGCGGGAACAAAAGAAGAATTCTGTTGTTCATTGTCAATGCTTTTCAGATCGTTTATGATACTGGTATCATTGCCGGTTGGGTTGATCGGTTCACCCGTTATTGTATCCAAGAACTTGTCGACGTTGAGGATTCTCCTCCTCTTCAGCTTCCTTTGATTATCATCGTACATCTCAGACAGACTCCTCGTCACCATTATCCAATCGTGACCCTGCGGATAAACGCATTCACTCTTCAAGCACAGATACACTGCAGTGTCCAGATTTATCTGCTTCAGAACTAGTTTGGAAGAACACACCGGACACAGAATCTAAAACGAAATATCGTTAGTTAAGCAAGAAAATATTTGAAGAACAAAAAAAACTTACCTTTTTCTTCGGCATTTTATTCTGCTGCAATTTCATTGCCTTCTCCACCAATTTAATCTTCTTACAAACGACTGAAGAGATGATATTGGATGTAATAGTAAACAAATAATTAATGTTAGGTTATAAGGAATAAACGTCAGATGAGCACAGTAGGCAACTTAATAAGCACATGACCACCCACAGTTATATACATAACAATTATATCATTAATTTTTGAAAACTTATTATCGAAATAATTATAAATATACAAGGATTATTTAAAGATTGAAAATTAATAACATTAAAATAATACACAAATTTTCTACCTTT